TGAGAAAATTCGTTAGAATTATTAATCTTACTTTTTCGGTCATATTTAATATGTTATATATATATATATATATATATATATATATATATATATATATATATATATATATATATATATATATATATATATATATATATTGTACATGTATAACTAAGAACTCCATGGGTTAGGTACATATATTAGAGGATTATGCACTCACTGCAATGAGTGGTCTTGCCGCTCTAGTGTCTTTATTTCATGTGTAGCCTTCTGGCTATTTTCCTCATGCTGTGCCTTGCGGAGTTTGTGGGAAAATAAAGTATACCTCGGATATATGCAGCATTTGACCATTACCCAGGATGCGGGCCACAATAGTCAATTTAGGAAATGTAGATGTTTATCTCTCAGAACCTACCTACCTACCTACCTACCTAGGTAGGTAGGTAGGTACCTACCTACCTACCCTGTAACCTACCTTACCTCTCTATTGTCAACCCATGTATGTTTTTTTTTTTTTTTTTTTTGTTTTACAAATCAACGCTGTTTTAATGTAATTTTCTGTAATAATTTGTAATTGTATTTGTGCTGTTTTTTCAACAATGTTCCCCCCTCTTTTACCTCTATTTTTATTTGTACTCAACGCATTTTTTTCTTTTTACCCATTAGTTTTAAGCTTTAGTCAGTAGTGTTTTTTCCTGCCCGAAACGCTTTGCGTAATAGTGGCTTTAGGCATTGTATGTACTAGCTCTTATCTATAAAGCCAACAAACTTTAAAATCTCTTTATGTATGTACCTTTGCCTAAATAAAAATTATTATTATTATTATTATAGAATGTTTCGTAATATGTTTATTGTGATGTGTTTATATGTATGTATTAACACGATGTACTGAACGGGGTGAGAATAGCTTGAGCTACCTCATCCCTTTGTGTGTATTTTACCTCAATAAACTTATTTCAATTTCAATAGTCGATTTGGGATGGGACGGAGGAATGGTTCCCAACCACTATGACGGTCGAGAATTGAACGCCGACCTGCATGAAGAGACTCTTGCTCGACCGTCCAGTCAAAGTGGCTGGATGTCTCACATGAAAGGTCTTCAATTTATCGACATTAAAAAGCATTTATCAGTCTTCTGACCATTTATGTACTGTCTATCTCTTTGTAAGGTCTAAATATAATTTTCACTCCCCACTTTACCTTAGATTTTAGCGTCATCCGCAAATTTGATGAAGTAGTTTACAATATTCTTATTTAGGTCACTTATGTATATAGACAAAAAGGGTTGGCTCCCTTTTGGGAGCCAACCAAAAGGTTGGCTTGGTTTGGTTGAGTTTATCTTTGTCCACCCTGTCAATTCCCCTGAGAATTCTGTAGGTGGTTATCATGTCTTCCCTCACTCTTCTGTTTTCCAGGGACGTGAAGTTCAGCTCCTTTAGCCTTTCCTCGTAGCTCATACCTCTCAGTTTTGGGACGAGCCTGGTGGCATGCCGCTGAATCTTCTCTAACTTTGTCTTGTGTTTAACTAGGTATGGACTCCAGGCTGGAGCTGCATATTCCAGGATTGGGTTGACATAAGTGGTATACAGGGTCCTGAACGATTCCTTACACAAGTTTCTAAAGGCAGTTCTTATGTTGGCCAGTCTAGCATATGCCACAGATATCCTTTTGGGTGAAGCCTTTACAGCGCTGTGGTTCAAACAAAAGCAGTCAGCGGAGCACTTGTTCTGGAAGTGATTGGATGTCATCAGCCGAGAGTTGTGTAAACTGTTTTTCATTTATAAGCAGGGGGTTTGGCAGTTGCATGGACTGGATTTTGGCCTCTGTTTATGAGGATATTCTGCCTGAAGGCCATCAGAGGTGCTTCTAAAACTGACACTCCTAGCTTCTGACTGTTTATACTCTTATTTCATAGTCTGTCGAGTCTAGTCCATCCAAGGCTCGATAAAAGCCCTACTTCCATGAGGTGACACTAATGGGAGGGGAGAGGGAATGCAAACAAATTATTGTCTGCTTCAACGGAGTTTCCAGTCTCACCTGCAGTGAATGACCAGTTGTCCTGACAATTGGCTTTAGAAGCAAATTCTGAAGGCTGATTTGCTATTGTTAGGAGTTCTTGTGTCACACTTAAATACACTGAAGATTGATAACCCAAATGAATTCTGTATGAATGTGATACCAACATCAACTCATATATCAGATGTCACTTTTAACTCCACTTTATTTTGAAGAAGCCATAGACAGTATGCCTATTCACTGCACCAGGCTCCCAATTCCTGGAACTCCATATTCATCAAGAACTGTAAAAGAAACACTATTGAAGGTCCTAAACATTTTTTGGAGACGGAGCTTAAATACTGGTGTTATCCCCGATATACTAAAAACAGCACCACTCCGTAAAGGAGGGAATAAAGCAGAGGCAAAAAACTATACGCTGATAGCACTAACATGCGACATCATAAAAATCTTTGAAAGTGACAAGTAGTAAGATCACAAACCACATGGACTTACATCGTCTACATAACCCCAGAGAACAGTTTCAGAACATTGCGCCCTTGCCTATCACAATTGCTAGACCACTATGACATGGCTTTAGATGCCATGGAAGACAGACAAAATGCAGATTTCACAAAATCCTTCAACAAATGTGAGCATGGTGTTATTGCACACAAAATGCGTTCAAAAGGAATCGCTAGTAAAATAGGCATGTGGATTTACAATTTCAAAACTAACAGAACCCAGCATGTAATAAGTCAACAAAGCAAAATCTGGACCATCAACTGAGAAGAGCTCAGTCCCCCAGGGTACTGTGCTTGCTCCTGTACTCTCATTCTATCGGACATGGACACAAACCACAGAACAATGTCCTCCTTTGCAGATGACAAAGATTTTTATGAGAACAGACAACATAGAGGACACAGCAAACTTCCAAACTCATGTAAATCAGGTTTTTCAATGGGCCACAGAAAATAATATGGTACTTAATATAGATAAGTTCTAGCTCCTGCACCATAGAGAAAATTAAAATATAAAAAACTACATACAAAATGCAGTCAAATCATACTATAAAATGTGAAATGTAAAGCATTTAGGTGTAATAATGTCAGATCTTGCCTTTAAAAAATACAATAATGTCAGTCACAACTACAAGAAAAATGACAAGTTGGATAACAAGACCCTTTCAAGCAAGAGATGCCGTACCAATGATAATTTTCAAGACATCAGTGCTCTCTAGAATGGAATATTGTTGCACAGTAACAGCCCCATTCAAATCTAGTGCTTGCATAGATCCTTTACTGCTAAAATCCACTCATAAACCATCTAAATTACTGGGACTGACTAAAATGCCTAAATCTGTATTGTCTAGAGCGCAGGTGGGAAAGCTACATAATTTACACATGGAAAATACTAGAGGGACTTGTCCCAAAACTGCACACAGAAATAACATCACCAGAAACCAGAAGGTATGGCAGGATGTCCATAATACCTTTGTTGAAAAGCAGAGATGCAGTAAGTATGCTGAGAGAGAGAGAAAACTCTATTATCAGAGGCCCAAGGCTGTTTAGCACGCTTCCACTACACATAAGAGGTATAACTGGCTGACCCCTCGCAGCATTCAAGACAGAACTTGATAGACACCTTCAAATAATACCTATCAACCAGGCTGTGAGCAGCTGCATCCAACATTCTGGTTGACCAGACCATTAACCAAGAGGCCTGGTCAGAACTGGGCAGCAGGAACCTGACACCCAGAATCAATGCAAGGTAACTGCCCCCATCTCCACACCATACAAGTGTTACTTCCCAACCCCCCAACCCCACCCAGGGGCACAACCATTGGGTAGGCTTAACTCTCAAATGTAAGAACATAAGAGCATACGCAGGTCTCCATACACGGCCATCATGTATTTTGAACGTGCACTGCCACAGTACACAGGAGTTACCCCCCAAATTGCGGGCGGCACATAAGCGCCACCCCTCACTGCGTCAACGCACCTCCCACTGAAGATAAGCATGCAATTAAGTAATTATCAAAAGAAGGCACCAAGCCAGGAAGGCTATGTAGCACCATCAAAGTGCTGAATAATCAGAGGGCGCTAAATATCACCAAAGATGCCAATACGAGAACAAAAACGCATAAGGCAAACGATATCAAAAGTATCCGAGTCACCAAGAATTCTATTGAGGGACAGGTGACCGCGTGAAGATAAGCAAACCATAAATTATGTAGATAATGCACATAAAAGTAAAATTCCCAGGTTTAGAATGTTATGTGAAGGATAATTACAGGCACTAAAGGGTAACAATATTTTTATCTTTTTTTTTCCAAAGCTGTGCTGGCATTTTGAAAAATGAGGAATGACCATCAAAGCTGGTCAGTGATACAAGAATAACATTTATCTATAGACACTAATTTACAGCTTGTAGATATTAAACTCTATACACAGATGTAATCAATGTAACACTGAGCAGAATATATATGCCATATTACCATGAAGCAATGAATGTGATTTTAGAAAATTAATAAAAATCTATATAAATGACAGTTTCATTGTTTTGTAGATATTCCTAACCAAAAGTCTTATAGACAATAGGCAAGTATTAGTTTTTTAATTGGAAGCAATGTTATTACTTTGTATTTTAGCATTTGATAACTGTGCCAATATAATTGTCCCTTAAAATTTTGTAGAGGTACTGTATTTACAATTAATTACCAACTGATTTTGGTCATATTTGTGCTATATATGCATTATTGTTTTTTAAGGAACCCTAAAATAAATGAATTTGACCAAAAATGGCTTCCAAACTATGTAAGACGCAAGTCATTGAAATGAATTTGTCTCGGTTTCACCAAGGATATATTGCACAGATTGCGCCACAGCACAACTTTATGGGAGCCAGTCGGCCGAGCGAACAGCACGTTGGACTTGTGATCCTGTGGTCCTGGGTTTGATCCCAGGCGCCAGCGAGAAACAATGGGCAGAGTTTCTTTCACCCTATGCCCCTGTTACCTAGCAGTAAAACAGGTACCCGGGTGTTAGTCAGCTGTCACGGGCTGCTTCCTGGGGGTGGAGGCCTGGTCGAGGACCGGGCCGCGGGGACACTAAGAAAAGCCCCAAAATCATCTCAAGATAATCTCAAGAAGATACATCCACAATGCTGGACCAACATTATCAATGTCGGCTCAACCTCACTTACACATCATTATCCATCTTCTACACATCCATTATCCACTTATTAATTTATTCTTTAGTATTTACAGGAAGTGGGTCATCAGTTTCCTCGCCATCACCTTCCATGACATTTTCAGGAGGCAACTCTGTCACAATAAAGCTGTGACTCTCAGAGAGATCAATAATCTCCTGGGGTCCAGGAGGGGGCAGCTGACTAGCACAACTCTGAATACTGAGCTCTTCTGCACCCGTGTCTACACTGCTGCTCTCAGTGTCCTCCACCGCTGCTAAGCTCACTGCCTGTAAAAGATCAACTATTATCATCAGAATATCAACTTTAGCACGTGCGTGTGTGTATGTCTATACACACGGCCTATAAAATATGGTGTTTAGAACTCTAATAAAGAACGAGCCCTAGGGGTGGTTTTGTATAGTAAGTGTTCCTTTGTGTTCCTCTGTCGCCAGAGGGACACAAAGAACATTGTAAGAGGAGTGTATGCATCGCTTTCCAACTTCACATTTGCTTTTAATTATATGGATGGTGAAACAAAATAAAAACTGTTCATGACTTTTTTAAGACCAAAACTGGAACATGCAGCAGTTGTAGAGTTCCCAAATCTTAAGCACAAAGAAACTGGAAAAGATGCAGCAGTATGCTACAGGAGAGGCTACAGACATTAAACACACCAAAACTAGAAGATAGAAAAAAATAGATGATATGATCACCACATACAAAATTCTTACAGGAAATGACCAAATTGACAAGCAAGAATTCCTGAAACAAGCAACATTCACGAACAAGAGGACAGATTCAAGCTAAGAAGGAAACAAAGGTGCCAAAAAAACATCAAAACATTTTCTTTTGCAAACATAGTAGATGGTTGGAACAAGGTAAGTGAGGTGGTGGTGGAGGCCAAAACCGCCAGTAGTTTCAAAGTGTTATACGACAAAGAGTACTGAGAAGACGGGACACCACGAGCATAGCTCACATCCTGTAACTCCACCTAGGTAATTACACACACATACACACACAAGGCTAACGTGTATTGTAGAGGCTAACTCCATTCATAACTTTAAAAACAGGTATGATAGAGAAATAGGCCAGTAGTCATTGCATTAGACAACCAATGGCTAGAAAAGCAGAGTCCATGAGCTAGAGCGCGATCCTGCAGGCACAAATAGGCGAGTACACACACACACAAATGGGTAGTTTCTTTCACCCTAATGCTCCTGTTCACTCAACAATAAATAGGTACCTGGGAGTTAGACAGCTGCTATGGGCTGCTTCCTGGGAATGTGTACTCACTTATTTGTACTGGCAGGATCGAGCATTGACACTAGGATCCCACCTATCTAGCCATCGGTTGTTTACAGCAATGACTCCTGTCCCATGTGTGTGCGTGTGCACATGTGTATAAGAGAAATATATATACTTAGACATAATACAGGAAAATACAATTGGTTAGAAAGGCGGGGGTCCAAGAGCTAATAGCTCAATTCTGCCGATACAAATAGTAAATACACACAATCAAAATATAAATATATATATATAAATAAAATTTTTGGTGAGAGAGATTGAGAATGTTGATACTAACCAAAGGATCTGGTATGGGAGTATGATAGATACAAGTGGTTGTATAAGGCAGGCACATCACTGGCACAGAACACTGGTCGTCGCCACATCTCCTCACACCACACGCTCCAAACAACACTTGATTAGGATCCTGCAAGATTAAAATCCCCATAAAGTACTCCATGAAACTGCATCCTAATAATGCGTTAACTCATAAAATGCAGATCTTGCCATTTTTATCTTCCATATCATAAATATGCTCCAATAGTTCTTATAAAATGCCTAATATAAAATTAGAAAAATATTAAATATAAAGTAAAATGATAAATTTCAGCAAAACAAATAAATGCTTGTTCATTACATAATGTTTGCACACACATTTATTTTTACATATATACACACACATTTATTCATGTTTGTTTATTTACACACAGACACACATCCACGCAGAGAAAAAAAAAAAGTATGAAAATGATATAGCAAATGTCACTTTCTTCTCAATCATCAATCACTTCTGTGATTGATGTGGTGACTTTTAGTATGAATAATCTTGACAAGATAGCTTTAGGGAGCCAATCATCCCCCCACAGAATATAGGTTATAGATGTTTAATAAAACATTTCATGAGGCATCATGAAATGCCTCATCAGTCACAACCCACTACTTCATTAGACTAGATATACACTGTGCTTTTTGTGAACGGCAATTCATTGCACACCACTTCCAACCAGCCTTGTCCCTCATGGTATCATGTGCGATATCTATACTCTGCTTCCTCACCGACCATGTCCATCTACTGTCTACACTCCAACTTACTCGAGTAATCTCTCTGCCAGTCTACCATCATCCATTCTTTCAAGCTGCCCAAACCACTTATTACAGTGTGCTGTAGTGAACTAATGGTAGTGGGAATAATAATGATAGACCTGCCCATCTCCGTATCTATAGGTGTCTATAATCTCTAGTGCACTAGGTGCAGGGGTGAAAAACAATGATGGCAAAATCTTTTTACACATATATGCTGCCGATATATATTCAATATAACAGGTCAAACTTGAAGATTTTGCTCAGATTGTTTGCATAGAATATAGGAAAAACAACTGTATAAATGGTATCTTCTGCAGTTTTGCTTAATGAAATTTGGAGATGCCCCTATATTTTCAAGAGCAAGACTAAAATTTCTACAATTTACAGTAGCCAATGAAACTGAAGGTGGCCCACCAATTTCTGCCATTCATGAATCATCATTATCATCTACTGCCTCTTTCTCTAGTAATTAGACTTCTTCACTCTTCATAAAGTCAGATAAGCTGGATAATTTGTATTTCCCATTATTCAATGTAAATACAAAGTCTATTAATGTAACTGTCCACCTATATTTTTGTTACGTTCTTTTTTGGTGGTTCAGGTACACAATTGCCCTCCATTCACAGCATGGGAGCCGGTCGGCAGAGCGGACAGCACACTGGACTTGTGATCCTGTGGGCCTGGGTTTGATCCCAGGCGCCGGCGAGAAACAATGGGCAGAGTTTCTTTCACCCTATGCCCCTGTTACCTAGCAGTAAAATAGGTACCTGGGTGTTAGTCAGCTGTCACGGGCTGCTTCCTGGGGGTGGAAGCCTGGTCGAGGACCGGGCCGCGGGGACACTAAAAAGCCCCAAAATCATCTCAAATCAAAATCATCTCAAGATAACATCTGGATCCAATTTACAAATGACCAATCTGCAAACATGTTTCTCAAAATGCAACCCATTTTAAAAGTTTGGGACACTGTATCTTCGAACTGTGTCAATGTATACATAAACACTTTGTGTGATATATACGATCAGTGTTTCCTTGAAAGTATCATTTATATTTTTAAATCTGATTTGAGCACCAATAACTTGCATTAAAAGGCCAGATACTGGCAACTTTACCCTACCAAATGTACAGTGCAGTAGTAGGCATCCTTCAGTCTCGGGAGACTATGGAGTTGCGCCCTAGTTGTCAATCCTGGTGCAGCGTCTGGTGTGACTGATGAGGCCAATCCGAGAGTGGCAGTCCATCCCACACCGAGCACAAACGAAGTCCGATTCTGGTCTGTCTTCCTGGTTACCGGCTTTCCTTCTCTGTCTCTTTGCCTCCGATTCCTTGGCAAGTGACTCCTCGAACTTGGAGAGACCTCGTTGAACAGACTGCCTCCAGGCTGAACGGTCTGCAGCCAGTGTCTCCCATATAGCAAGATCGACGTCCATGGCTTTCAGGTCCCTTTTGCATACGTCTTTGTACCGTAGCTGGGGCTTGCCTACTGGACGCTTTCCCTGCCTCAGCTCTCCATACAGGAGATCCTTGGGGATCCTGCCGTCGCCCATTCGCACAACGTGCCCGAGCCAGCGCATTCGTCTCTGTTTCAGCATTGTGTACATGCTGGTGATTCTTGCTCTCCCCAAGACGTTGTTGTTTGTCACCTTGTCCTGCCAGGTGATGTCCAAGATGTGTCGAAGGCAGCGCATGTGGTAGGCATTCAGCCGTCTTTCCTGACGGGCGCGGAGTGTCCAAGACTCACTGCCATAAAGGAGAGTGCTCAGGACACAGGCTCTGTAAACCTGAATCTTAGTATACTCAGTTAGCCTATTGTTGGCCCACACTCTCTTTGTCAGTTTGGACATGGTAGTAGATGCCTTACCGATGCGTTTGTTTAGCTCCGTATCAAGAGAGGGAGTCAGAGATTGTGGAGCCCAGGTACACGAAGTCGTGAACAACTTCCAGTTTGGAATCAGAGATGCCGATGTCAGGTGGGGAGTCCACTCCTTGTCCCATGACTTGTGTTTTCTTCAGACTGATGGTGAGTCCGAAAGCCTGAGAGGCCTCGCTGAAGCGGGTTATGAGCCGTTGGAGGTCTTCAGCTGAGTGGGCAGTGACTGCTGCGTCGTCGGCAAAGAGGAAGTCGCGCAGACACCTCAGCCGAACCTTTGTCTTGGCTCTCAGCCTGGCGAGGTTAAAGAGCTTTCCATCTGACCTGGTCCGGAGGTAAATGCCTTCCGTGACAGATCCGAAGGCGTGCCGCAGCATAACTGCGAAGAAAATCCCGAATAGGGTTGGAGCCAGTACGCAGCCCTGCTTTACTCCACTTCGGATGTCAAAGGCGCCTGATGTTAGGCCATCAAAGACCACGGTGCCCCTCATGTTCTCATGGAAAGATCTGATGATGCTGAGGAGCCTGGGTGGGCATCCGATCTTGGGGAGGATCTTGAACAGGCCATCCCTGCTGACGAGGTCGAAGGCCTTCGTCAGATCTATGAAGGCTACAAAGAGTGGCTGCTTCTGTTCCCTGCATTTCTCCTGCAGTTGTCTGAGGGAAAAGACCATGTCGATGGTGGACCTGCCAGCTCTGAATCCACATTGTGATTCTGGATAAACTCTCTCTGCAAGTACTTGGAGCCTCTTCAATGCGACTCGAGCAAACAGCTTTCCGACAATACTGAGGAGGGAGATTCCACGGTAGTTGTTGCAGTCGCCCCTGTCACCTTTATTCTTATACAGTGTGACGATGTTGGCATCCCTCATGTCCTGTGGCACCTCTCCTTCTTCCCAGCAGAGGCAGAGAATTTCGTGCAGCTCCATGAGCAGGCTACCTCTGCAGCACTTCAAGGTCTCAGCAGGAATGCCATCTTTGCCAGGAGCTTTACCAGAAGCAAGGGAGTCTAGGGCATCGCTGAGTTCTTCCAGGGTCGGTTCACTGTCGAGCTCCATTAACACAGGCAGACACTCAATGGCGCTCAGGGCATCTTCGGTGACCACATTGTCCCTGGCGTATAGCTCAGAGTAGTGCTCGACCCAGCGCTTCAGCTGCAGTGTCTGGTACTGAATCACCTCGCCAGTGGCAGATTTCAGAGGAGCGGTCTTCCTCTGGATTGGGCTGAGGGCCTGCTTGATGCCGTCATACATTCCCCTTACATTGCCTGTATCCGCTGCAGTCTGTATCTGGGAGCAGAGCTGGAGCCAATAGTTGTTGGCACATCGCCTGGCGCTCTGCTGCACTTTGCAGCGGACGGCCCGAAGGATCTGTAAGTTGCGCCGACTTGGGCAGGCTTTGTAGGCTGCCAAGGCGTTTCTCTTCTCTTCGATTACAGGTGTCATCTCTTCCGAGTGAGCCTCGAACCAGTCTGCCGACCTGCTGGTCTTCTTGCCAAAGGTGGAAATGGCAGCGTTGAACACAGCGTCTCTGAAGTGCTCCCATCTTTTACAGGCAGTGACCCCAGCTGGGCCAGGGAGAGCTTCCTCGAGCATGTGTGCAAAATCTTCCACCTTGTCCTGGTTGCGGGTCTTGGTGGTGTCGATGCGAGGTCTGCCCGCCTTTTTCGAGTGATGAATCTTCTTTGGTTGCATCTTGACCCTGCTACATACCAGGGAGTGGTCGGTGTCACAGACAGCACTCTGGTAGCTACGCGTAATCTTGACGCTGGGTAGACTTGCACGCCTGGTAAGAATCAGGTCAAGCTGGTGCCAGTGCTTGGATCTGGGGTGTCTCCAAGATACTCGGTGTTGAGGCTTTGTGCCGAAGAACAAAGCCTCATACTGTAATTACATTACAGTATGTAAATTACATACTGTAATTTATACATTCTTTCTTTTTGCTAATCAGAAACTACTATTATGTATAGACTTACATGTAAAATATGTTTTGAACAATACTTTGACAGAGGAACAGATTTTTCCCCACAACGCCATGATCCCTCACTGTACACACATTTAACGCAGCCAACACTTGCTCCTGGCTTGTAGTTCACTCCCTCGGTCACCTGAAAAGAGATAATGAGAAAAAAAATAACAAAAAGATCACCTCAGAATTTATTTGACAGTAATGAGTACACCAGTACCATTGTTGAACAGAAAACATGAGACAAAATATTCCAAGGGCGTTCCGCGAACGCTTTGTCATGGGTTCGTATCCTGGCCGGGGAGGATTTACTGGGCGCAAATTCTTAACTGTAGCCTCTGTTTAACTCGACAGTAAAATGTGTACTTGGTTGTAACAAGGATTCTTCGCGGCGGGGATCGTATTCCAGGGACCTGCCCAAAACGCTACGCGTACTAGTGGCTGTACAAGAATGTAACAACTCTTTTGTGTGTGTGTGTGTGTGTGTGTGTGTGTGTGTGTGTATAGAGACACACACACACACACACACACACACACACACACACACACACACACATATATATATATATATATATATATATATATATATATATATATATATATATATATATATATATATATCTCAAAAGAGCATTCCAGTGGTTGCATATTCCTAAAAAGGGATAGAACATATCACCATTATTCCATTATGTCTACACAAATTAATTACTAATGCTGAATGTGGCATCTAGCACATGCAGGATTTGTACGGAAGATTAATATATTCCCCATTCAGTCTTTCAAAATATTAACACAGTGAAGTTATGGGTTGAAACCTATTTCTACTTAAGAAAACTTAAACCTATTTCTACTTTGCTGCAGGTAGCACGCCTGTTTATTTGTATCTTATATACATATATCCCTTCAGAGAATTCTATTGCAAACAATTTGATACCAAAATGAGCGATGTAACACAATAAATTGACATAAGAAAACTGGAAAAAAGAGTACCGTACACTCATTTTAGTGCGGGTTAAGTGCTCATGGGTAATGCTTGGCCGATTTTCGGGTCTGCTGCGGGTGGCAAGCGGGGTTTTTTGACCTTATATGGATATATCCTTTTAGAGAATTCTACTGCGAGCAATTTGATATCAAAATGAATGATGTAACACGAACATTGATAAGAGAAAACTGAAAAGAGTATACATATTTTAGTGTGGGTGGACACTCACTTGAAATGCTTGGCCCACCCCAAGGGGCGCGCACGCCGGAGACGCGAAAGTGTTAAAAGCGATTCTGAAGTTGGACAGTACAGCTCTTGCAGCCCTTCACAGCTCCCTTAACCAGTAGAAATGTACACATCTATATGTTTTTGTTTTCTTACATTTAAAAAAAAAAAAAATTAATAATCACGTAAGAAAAATGTTGGGATTTTGTTAATTTTTGTGTGTGCATGACCTCCTTCCTTTGAGAGTGAGGTTTTGAGGCTAGGGCAAGGGAAATATGCTAGATGTGGTGTAAGCGCATTGCAGACAGGTTCTCTTGGTAGATTCTTTCATATGATTTGTTGAAATTACAATTTTGCTCACTGAAATTAGCCCATAGAGCATGGAAAATATTAAGATATGAAGGGTAACTCCCTTAATATGATTCCAATCATATTTTTAATGATTTTTTGTAGATGGGAGCCAGATTAGACGAAAGAAAAACTAAGGAAGCAATGTATTTTTATCTTGACAAAATAAGCTTTCTCACAACACTTGATTAGAAAGGCTAATCATTATTGAATGCTTGTCCATTAACCTAAAGTGGGCTAATGGAAGCCCTTCTGGAGATGCTCCAGAAGGCATTTCTGGTTGCAACGAATCCCTAACTCCAATAAATCACGTTTAATGCAGCATAGTTTACCAAATTAACGTTCCAAACGTACTAGCATAGCTAGAGGTATCTGTATAATTAACTAAAATGGTTAATTTTTTATCTGAACCCCCAGCAAATCTTTTAACTCACAACTAGCACCAGAACAATTCTTGACACCCATGCTCCTACCTTTCACCAGGATGTATGTTGCATAAGTAGGTCAGAACTACCCACGACAGAAACAAGGTAAAGTTACACACCTGGAGACGACGTTCGAGCTGCTGCCGATAAAGGAGCGAATGTGTCCCGAGGTGCTTGTGATACCGATTCATAGCTCTCAGCTGATTATATGCTGCTCTCTCTTCTGGGGTAGTTTTAGGCTGAGCATGTATACTAACTGAGGATTGACAAAAACAAATTGCCTTAGAATGTAATTCACTTAAATTTCTTAATATTCTCAATTCTGCTAGAGGTAAAATGTTTATAATTAGCACCTATTACATATTTAGCTATTGCAAAATATGCTAAAATAGCAACTAAATGACATTAACACATTATGAGTTTAAAAACGACACTACTGTATTTAAATTTCCATATGCCATGCAATTGTCAATGTTTATTCCAGACAAATCCACAGAAAATTTAAAATTAAATTGAAAGTTTTTGTAATGCATGTGAGGATAATAAGTAATGTATTTTTAACCACAAGTCAGACACTGAAACTGAGGTTACTTATTACAGTACTTAGATTTAAACAAATCTAACAGGTAAATATAATTCTAGTTTATTAAAAATCCCATTAGCTGGAAGTAAAACTCCATAATCTTGTATGGTAAATCATGGAGTGTGTTCGTGGCATACTGGCCGACCCCTCACAGTGTTCAAGAGAACTTGATAAGCACCTCCATAGGATACCTGATCAATCAGGTTGTGATTCATATGTCAGGCTGTGAGCAGCCACATCCAACAGCCTGGTTGACCAGTCCAGCAACCAGGAGGCCTGGCTGACCAGTCCAGCAACCAGGAGGCCTGGTTGACCAGTCCAACAACCAGGAGGCCAGGCTGACCAGTCCAGCAACCAGGAGGCCTGGCTGACCAGTCCAGCAACCAGGAGGCCTGGTCGAGTACCAGTCCTCGGGAATGTTGAGCATCAAAATCATTGCAAGGAAAGATAAGGCAAGGTGGCTGAGCTGGCTGACTAGGTCCTCCCCAACAATACAAATGGCTGCTTATTGCCAATTGGTGGGTCAAGTGTAGGGATGCATTATTTGTTGGGGTTGTGCTACGTTTGAGCAGCCTAAAGCATATGGCATCTATGATGAGGTTCTCAGAATATACTAATGTGTCACAAGGGCTTTATGAAATACCACCCCTTGCTGTATCTTGAGGTTATCTTGAGATGATTTCGGGGCATTTTAGTGTCCCCGCGGCCCGGTCCTTGACCAGGCCTCCACCCCCAGGAAGCAGCCCGTGACAGCTAACTAACACCCAGGTACCTATTTTACTGCTAGGTAACAGGGGCATAGGGTGAAAGAAACTCTGCCCATTGTTTCTCGCCGGCACCTGGGATCGAACCCGGGACCACAGGATCACAAGTCCAGCGTGCTGTCCGCTCGGCCGACCGGCTATGGTTAGTTAACCCTCATGTACCAGGATTGTACCTAGAGTGGGTTCTTGGAGTAGTAGTTCTCCCAAAGCCCAGCCTGGAGTCAGGCTTGACTAATGAGAGATTGCTCCAACAGATTTGCTTAGTGACCCACAGGCCCACATGTCCACTACGGGGCCTCGTAGCCTGGTGGATGGGGCCTCGTAGCCTGGTGGATAGCGCGCAGGACTCGTAATTCTGTGGCACGGGTTCGATTCCCGCACGAGGCAGAAACAAATGGGCAAAGTTTCTTTCACCCTGAATGCCCCTGTTACCTAGCAGTAAATAGGTACCTGGGAGTTAGTCAGCTGTCACGGGCTGCTTCCTGGGGGTGGAGGCCTGGTCGAGGACCGGGCCGCGGGGACACTAAAGCCCCGAAATCATCTCAAGATAACTACAATCCAGTTGGTTTGGCACTTCTTGCACGACAATATTTTGATCTTAAAGAAGTGCAATATTGTTCCAGGATATTTCTAATACTTGCTGGTCAGTTAACTCCTATGCTAATTTGATGATTCAACAATTAGGCAAGTCATGAATAATTCTTGATAACTTTTTAATTTAGTAAACCATACTCTTTAATTAAACAAAAAAAAAAACCTACCCCAAAACCATATAGCTACAACGTATGATAGGAGCGGAACACAACGATAAAAACTTACCCATGCTTTCCTTCTCTAAACGTATTGCCTGTAGATATTTTCTCCTGCTCTCTCGTAAGATGTGGGCAAGCCTTTTATACTCTCCTATATACATGGACTGCAGAAGAAGAAAATTGTGTAAGTATATAAATAACAAATATACTAAATAAACACATTAGCAAAAAGACAGAACACCTATTATTAGTCATTCTTGAATTTGCGGGTTGGTTTCGTGGCTTTGTTCACCTTACTTGGATTTATTCTTCACTAGTGACATTATTAACAAAATAAATATTAAACAATGTAGGCACATTTGCACCTAATAAGGGATAGAAGTTGTTAAATGTACTGTACAGTTTACTATTAAACAAAAAACATTACTTCAGACCAATTCTGACAAACATATTGACCTAAAACTTGACCTTACTCCACATACGTCATTGTGATGCTCAAACTTATTTTAACCATACTTAAAAAACAAATTTTGGGGACCCTCATGCACCAGGAAGCTGTCTCGTGTAAACAGGGGGCACAGCCATTGAATCTAGCTCCCCCCCCCTCTCCCAACCACTTGGGCTGGACGGTAGAGCGACGGTCTCGCTTCATGCAGATCGGCGTTCAATCCCGAATTCAAGTGGTTGGGGGCACCATTCCTTCCCTGCCCCATCCCATCCCATCCCAAATCCTTATCCTGACCCCTTCCCAGTGCTATATAGTCGTAATGGCTTGACACTTTCCCTTGATAATTCCTTCCTTCCTCCCCCCCCCCCCTCACTTTCAACCACAACTCGGCAGGCTTTACAATTTACACCGAGAATATTCATAATTTTTTAAATACTGTATATTATTGGAAAGAAAAAACCTAATCTTTTACTACAGTATACAGGCAATGATACAACTTTCACTGATGTTTCCTTGATTTACTGCTCGTATTTGGGCTATAGTTTGCAAAGTCATTTACTCAGAAATGATGAATACACTTTGTTGTTTGACTGCTCAGTCTTTGGTCAGGCAGACGCTGAAGACCAATAATGTAACTGCTGGATTGGATGCCTAGAAGCACAAGTGTGGTGGTGATGGTGTTTATACTGGCTTGGTAACAGTTCGTTGACTCCCATCCACACCTTGAGTACAGTATATTAAAAGAAAGTTTTCTTTTCCAAACAAAGTGGTAGACAGTTGGAACAAGCTAAGTGAGGTGGCGGTGGTCAAAACTGTTAGTAGTTTCAAAACTTTATATGACAATGCTGGGAAGACGGGACACAGCGAGTGTAGCTCTCATCCTGTAACAACACTTAGGTTATCTTGAGATGATTTCGGGACTTTTTAGTGTCCCCACGGCCCAGTCCTCGACCAGGCCTCCACCCCCAGGTACCTATTTTACTGCTAGGTAACAGGGGCATAGGGTGAAAGAAACTCTGCCCATTGTTTCTCTCCGGCGCCTGGGATCGAACCCAGGACCTCAGGATCACAAGTCCAGCGTGCTGTCCGCTCAGCCAACCGGCTAGGTAATTACACTATTTCATCAACAGCATTCTGCAATGTTCTTTCAAAACACCAGGAATGTCTCGAAAAGGCCTTCAACTTCAACATGTTTCACAGCAAAAAAATCTACGTGTTTATATTTTTAGTGCACATCGTAGGAAGCCAGATGGGCGAGTCGTTGGGTCTGGACTGCCGGAGAAGCAATTTGCTGACTAGTCATGCAGGTATAAGAGCTGTGATGTTCAAGTTTAAGGAATTACATGCTCACTTTCACTTGAGTTTACACAATACAGTATACAGAATTACTCTATGTAAACATAAATGACAAAAACAGTAATGGAGTACTGTATATAGGCATACAATGTAAAATATACATCCACATTGAAATTAAATCTGTTGCCAGCCCAGCTCAAAGGAAGATGCTTGCCATTATGTCTGGGAATGTCATCCAGAAATGTGGAGATTCAAACACTGGCAGAAACAACCAAATTGTGATTTGATGATAATTGCAGGCCACTAGTATATAACCTCATTCCATTATAAGCAATTAAAAACAATAGGCATACTTTTTCATGAGTCTAGGTTAACGCTCTTACATCAACATAGATGTATTATAACTATATATATATATATATATATAATTTCTATAAAAAATGGGGAATAATAACCTAGATATAAAAACTGCAATACCCCTGGGGGATCAACATATGATGATACCTGCACTTTAAGCCTTCAACTGCACATAGCGATAATGGTTGCTTCATCACATGCACACAGCAACCAGGGGACAGTTTCAGGAACAACCGTGGACATCTTCAAGAGAACACTAGATAGTTTTCTTCAAGAAGTGTCGGACCAACCGGGCTGTGGTGGATATGTGGGCCTGCGGGCCGCTCCAAGCAACAGCCTGGTGGACCAAGCTCTCACAGGTTAAATATGGCCTCGGGCCAGGCTTGGAGAGTAGAACTCACAGAACCCCATCAAGCAGGCCAGATTTAAAGTTCCTGCAGGTACACAGTCTCACATCCTCTTCATCAGGTGTTCAGTAAACAGATGCCTCCTTGGTGTGAGGGCCTCAGTACTAACACAGCAACATTGGGTAGCAAGCGATGAGTCACAATAACGTGGCTAAAGTATGATGACCAGACCACACACTAGAATGTGAAGGGACGACGACGTTTCGGTCCGTCCTGGACCATTCTCAAGTCGAACATCGACTTGAGAATGGTCCAGGACGGACCGAAACGTCGTTGTCCCTTTACATTTTAGATCCTGCCATTTCAAAAGTGAGAAACAGCCACAACACAAAGTTGCAGTTTCTCACCTCTGCACATCATGCAATGGGTCATATGTTCATTTAGAAAATGAATGTGAACCTTATTCATATTCAGGATTTAGTGACCACGATCATGATGAGTGATCATAAACCAGTGACATCACAATATTCTCTCTCTCCACCATAGCCAAAACTACATACAATTTTTTTTTTAGTTTCCTGTGATCAGGGAACATATATTCTGATATGTGCAGGTGTCCAAATGATACTTCCTTTTGATCTCTTCTTCTCCATTCCATCTTCACTATCATACACTTGCCATGGTGAATATCAAACATTCATATGACCACACACAACATATTAAGGAAGTTCTAAAACACGGGTGGTGATGGTGGTGTCAGTAGTGGTGATGGTATTGGGGGGTGAAAGAGTAAGTATCTGTATGTGTGTCATGATGTAATGACTGGCCAATACAGAGTAAACAGGAAGAAACATTACTGAAAGGCAGTCAACTGGTGGATGTTTCATGCCTGCACACTTCAGTTTTATATAAAGTACTTAAAATACTATTTTGTCTGTTTTCAACATTATTTCAAACCAAAATTATTGTTAAGCAATTTATTGAATGAGCTTCACTGCTGAGCCCTTAGATCTCTATTATTAAAGGTTGTGCTCGGCAACCTAACCCCCTTTTACAGTGGGCCAGAGAGTGAAACAATCAACAGAACTCCATACCCACCCTGCACACAAGGCTTGGTCAACCAGATTCATGAAGCACACAGCCTTCCTCTGGAAGTGGCCAACTATATACACAACCAGAAGTGGGGTGCTCCAAGGTGTACTAAGATATTCCATAAATAAAATGAAAACACATCGAGGAATATCATTTTCCCGTGTACCTTACAGTTACCCAAATAATACAAGCCAGCCTCCACAAGAAGCCTACCTCAACAAGCAATGCCTTGTTCTGCAACCTTTCCCGCTCCTCGTCACTCTCTCAAGCCAGGTACCAAGCTACTGCTTCCTGCTGTCCATCTTGTGTATAATGCCCTCTTCATAGCAACCAACCCATCACCTCTATGCTAACAGCCTGCAACATAACAGTACTGAAGCATCAGCACCACCAGTGTTACCTAGCCCTTCACAACACCTTGTGTGTAGCATCACACCAGCTATTAACCTAATGTGGACTAGTATTAGTATTAGACCTAATGTGGACTAGTATTGGACCTTGCTTGCCAGTTTTACCAGTCAGGCTGCGAGTAGCCGCGTCTAACAGCCTGGTTGATTAGTCCAGCAACCAGGAGGCCTGGTCGACGACCGGGCCGCGGGGACGCTAAGCCCCGGAAGCACCTCAAGGTAACCTCAAGGTAGTACTGTCCTGTCAGATTGCACCTTCATCACTTAAACAAATTGATTCACAAATGTTGAGTGCGTATGGCATTCACAATGGTATAAATGGAGCTACGCTTTCCAGATAAACAAAACAGAATTACATCAGGGTTAATGCACTTCTGGACAATACAGTATTATAACATTTGTCTCTCAGTGCTACAGACTAACCATTTTAATCATTCAAATTAATTCCAAGGCAGATCACATGGTGCCACAGAACCAACCTTGCTTGCTAGTTTTACCAGCAATTATTCAAAATTAATGGTTATCTTGCATTTTTCAGTCATACGTTTTTACAGGTAGCAGATTGAGAAAGGTTTAAAAAAACAGGTGAAACTGTCTTCCATGTCAATACATGGATACATAAAAATGACAGTACTGTACTTTATTTCTCTAAAACTCCAATTTTATCATAAATACAGGTAATATTGGTTTTTCAACTGTGCTTTAGCAAACTACTGACAGAAATGAACATGTAACTACCTGTTCAAGCCAAATTCTTTCCAAGGTGGAAAATACTAAACAGAACATGAAGCCTTAGCTAAGTATGGGAAGTCAAAGATATCAAAGATATCTCTACAACTTCCAAGCTGTTATCTCCTTGTTCAAAGGTAAGAATCTTGTTATGCATTCAATGTGTTCGAAATATCAGAGCAATCTCACACGTAGGACTTCACTGAATGCTTCTCATGGGACCGAAGAGATTCAGCCAACCCTACCATTTCTCTGGCACAATCTGGGATCATTATAATTATAGAAAGTTCAAGAGCCATGGTCTTGCTGCCATAAAAACAAAATTTATGCAACCCACTTAAAAATAAAAAAAAATTACTTATAGCAACTATTGGTGGAATGCACAAAAATATACTGTTTTACACAAACAAAATCACATTTCATACTACTGGAATACCACAAAAGGCATGCAAGCACTGGAACATTACCTATACAACCTAACCTATCCTGGGCATAGGTAAGTAACCCTAAGCGTAAAACATACCATCTGAGGCTAATTCAGTACATGTAATATAATCTAGGTCTAATAAAATTTAGATTTAGTTGCCGTTTTCTTTCTCGTGTCTTATGAAATTAACAGTACAAATCGTGATTTTTTGGGGGGCAGTACAACAATCCATTTTTGTATGTTCTACCCATACAAAAATAGAGGAACATACAAAATTGTAGGGAGCCGGTCGGCCGAGCGGACAGCACGCTGGACTTGTGATCCTGTGGTCCTGGGTTCGATCCCAGGCGCCGGCGAGAAACAATGGGCAGAGTTTCTTTCACCCTATGCCCCTGTTACCTAGCAGTAAATAGGTACCTGGGTGTTAGTCAGCTGTCACGGGCTGCTTCCTGGGGGTGGAGGCCTGGTCGAGGACCGGGCCGCGGGGACACTAAAGCCCCGAAATCATCTCGATATTTAACCCATAGCTGTAGTAAGTACTAGAATTTTTGGATGACAGGTTGAATTGTTATAGCGTTCCTTCAATAATTTTCCACTATTTAGTTTTGTTGCCTTTAAAAGTATTTTGGCTACTACACTGGTCAATAAAGGCAGTATATAATTTAGTGCTTCTTCTCTGTTGGATGTTTTTATAAATATGAATGAAATATGTCATTTTCCATGAGACTGCTAGTGTTCTTGTTTGCAAACATTCTTAAATAAACCTTAATGGATAGCTTTAAGTCATGAGCACATTCTCTCAGCACCAATGGTGATACATTATCTGGTCCTACAGTCTGGTTTCTGCCGAAATCCATGAGCAATTTTTTGGTGTCGTCTATTAAATCTAAATATTACTGTTATGCTCCAAAATCCATGGTATATCTGGCGCTGTTAATCCAATACTTTGCATGAAGCTTTGAAATTGATCATTCAATGCTTGATACATTTCCTCCTCATGTTACCACAGAACTGTTATCCACTCATAATTTACAGAATAACCTGAGTTGTTACTGAAACATTTTAGACAGCTTCCTCCTCCTATCAGTCATTATTGAGGGTAGAGGTTAATTAAAATGACACCCCCATTGCAAATGACATAAGTGGGAAAGATGTATGTACCAGTATTATATAACCTTTCAAGCTCGCATCAAATAGTATTTTGAGAAATATTAATTGATGTGCTTTACTTATACTGTAATAGCTTAATGGCAATTATTACAAGCTGTAAAAGGTGAAATTTGGAGACCATTCTGACTGTGCCATGACTGCTTTAATAAGGGGCATCACACCTTCATTTACAGTAAATGTGCAGAAAGCACACATTTTACATCAGTAAATCTTCAGAGCACACCCACCTTTAATCTCTGAAGTTTCTCCAGATATATTCTTGTTATTTCCTCAGTAGTAAACACTTGTGCATGTTCAAGGGGGTCGGCATCAGAATCTGCAGAGTCTAACTCGCTATCAGCCTCACGTCGAGGAAGGGAGTCGTGGGGAAGTGCGGCTAATTCCTCTTCACTGTCCGTCTCGCTTGCATATTCCAGGGAGGCCGAGGCAACACCAGTCACACTTGCAGGGTCAGGAATGGCTGTAAATAGTAACATACATAAATGATGTCATTTCCTGTAATATTCTATGCAATACTGATGTTACATGAAATCAACGGGAGCTCTAATGGAAAATACGAAACAACGGAATCAAAGAATAAAATACTAATCTTATACAATGTATTACAGTAATTGAAGGACTAAATACATTATCCTTAAACAGTGTAGTTAGTAATGTACTCAATCTGTTTTTGTAATTTACATGTACATAAATCTAGCTATTCAATACAAATATGATTGTGAATGAGCTAGAAAGTGAAGAAACAATCATAGAAACAGCCAAGGTCAACTCTGGAGTCCTCTGCTACACATTGCAGTACTAGTACGACACCAGATTTAGTGCTTACAGATTCAGCTTGGCGCATCACCCACCAACCTTCTACAGCTCAACAAGTAATTATGTAGATATTTACATTTAAACTTTTCCTTACATTTTACATCCAAATTTATCATTCTACAAAGAAAATATATATATTTTTTTTACACGTTTTGTATACCTGGGCATACGTGGGTGAATATCCATATCCATATCTAAGGGTTAAGCAAGAGGTTTTTATGAGTACAAAGTTAAGCAGCAAGTTTAATTACCATTTTGACCAGCAGTTTGTGTATCCATCTGATGGTGACTTAATTGATTGAGAAGTGTCTCTGGGGTTTCCCGGGGTTGACTCCTGCGTGCTGCTCTCTGTCTTGAGACCAGAGATTGCCTCGAGTGATCGCCACAGTACCTGCTAGACGCAAAACAATACGCTTCAAACTTCACCTTGGTATAATGTTAATTTTCATTCAAAACTATATTAAACATTCTATTACTGCCACCTAACTACAAGCTTAGAGAACATTATCCTTAATTGTTTTGTAGAACAGCAAGTGCAATACGTTCCTTTGTATTCACTTAGTGCTTGTGGGGGTTGAGCTCTGCTCTTTCGGCCTGCCTCTCAACTGTCAATCAACCGTTACTAACTACAAATATTTTTTAACCCCCCCCCCCAGGAAGCAGCCCGTAACAGCTGTCTAACCCCCAGAGTTAGACAGCTATTATGGGCTGTCTATTTACTGTTACGGGCTACTATTTACTGCCAGATCACAGGGAAATCGAACCTCGGACCACAGGATTACGTGTTCAGCGTGCTGTCCACTCAGCCACTGGCCCCACCGGTGTCATAGTGGACAATTTTGTTGTTTTGGATGCCGTTTTGCACTCCACTGTGCTCTCTGCCCCAATACAGTAATACTTAACAATATCTTTTTAGAAGTTACTTTTATCAGTGGGGTTCACTTAAGTAATGTGCTCTCTTGCTGCATCAATACTCACATCACTACTCAGTCAATGATAAACCGAGATGATGGGACTCATGACAAGGAGCAAGCAACACAGCACATCATATCTCAAGAAGGAAGTGGATGAAAGGAGAACAGCACTCATGGTTCAACAATGTAAGGAGGAAGAATATGAAGACTATCAGTATTAAAGCAACACAGGTCACCAAGATGGGCACACATCACCTTAACACCTACCACGCTACCTCCCACCCTCTGGGGATAGAATCCTAGCCTAGCGAGTCCTCTGGGAGGTTGCCGAGGTCCCTGTGTTTTGACTGGTACACATGGGGGTAAAGTGCTGACTTCAGTACAAAAGTAGAGGAGTGCAGGGAAGAGAAAAGGATTCCCTGGTGAGCAGCGAGTGTGCGTGTCTCAAGTAGATACTGTTCCTCCTCTTCCCCCGTAAGTCTGCCACCTTGATAAATATGGATTTATACTGTTCTTTACGTATTATCTGCATTCTGATCAAAGATGGATCTTTATCTTTTCTCAATGAAAGGTACACATTTATGCATATTTTGCATACTTCTAACACTGATGTCAAAACAATGTTGGAGCCAGAGCTCAGTGCAGTTTTCCAAGGTACACAATTCCTGCTCATTTCAACCAAGTCAATACTGTACATATGCTACCGCTTGTTGTGTGTATGCTTAAGTCATAAATTAGAGAAAAGCTTTTTAAAATTGCAGATGATTCACAATAACATGGCTGAAGAATGTTGACAAAACCCGGGGGGGGGGGGGGGAGCCAGTCGGCCGAGCGGACAGCACGCTGGACTTGTGATCCTGTGGTCCTGGGTTCGATCCCAGGCGCCGGCAAGAAACAATGGGCAGAGTTTCTTTCACCCTATGCCCCTGTTACCTAGCTATAAAATAGGTACCTGGGTGTTAGTCAGCTGTCATGGGCTGCTTCCTAGGGGTGGAGGCCTGGTCGAGGATCGGGCCGCGGGGACACTGAAAAGCCCCGAAATCATCTCAAGATAACCACACACACATCTGTTGTCAATAAGATTGTATAATTGCCTTAACTCACCCCTCTTTCCTATCACTGGTTGGTGCTGGACGCAGGCACCGCTTGCCAGTGCTTGCATATATGTAATTGCATTGTCGAAATGGCGCTCCTTTGTCCTCAAGAATATGTCGGCTACAATACTCAAAACCATCCAATCTTGTCTGAAGGAAATAAATCAAATCAATCTTTTAAATTACCAACTATTGTAGAACTTAAATATTACACAGTTGTAAAAAATAACTGTATACCCTATACACACACAATAATAATACCCATAATGATAAACTTGTATAAACAACATGCATAAGACCATGACTGCCAGTGATCTTTTTTTAATTAGCACAGTACAGTTTAATTAATTGGCTTACACAGAAAATTTGCATTAAAAGGGCCACTAATATGCAAAGCGTTTTCGGCATTGTGAACAAACCCCCACGTACCATTGAACAATTATAGGTGGAGCAGGCACAAGCTGCCTCATTGGATGGCCGGCTGAGAGTCCTCACCGTCTTGACCACACGACCACTGCGAACCGACATCTTTACTACAATTTCTAGGTCCTTATGTAATTTCTCATTCTGAAATCAAACATTTAACAATTAGTGTGAAACAAAATTATGCATAATCAGGCCCCCCTCCTAATTTTTTTGTTTTAAAAGGCATAAGTCAAAGTAAATGTGATTGCATGAGGGTATTCAACCATCCTGGGCTATCAGAATATGAACAGGCGGGAGAAAGTACAGAAAAGGGCAGACACATCCGAAATGGTGCAGGTGGTGGTCAATGTGATTCAAGAGATGGTTGAGGAGCTGCATTGAGCAGCCATAAGCTGTCAATATGGCAGAAAATGAAGTATAGAGCCAGTAAAGAGTAGAGGTACCATAGGCTCATTCAGAGAACACTGTAGGAACATCAGAGGTAAAAAAAAAAAAAAAAAAAAGTTCCTTATCCTCCAAGCTAATGTAAATATACACAAGTTTGCAAGAACAAGAGTACACACCTAGTTGTGCTTGCAGGGGTTGAGCTTCAGCTCTTTGGTTCTACCTCTCAACTGGTGTACAGGTTTCTGAGCCTATTGGGCTCTATCATATCTATATTTGAAACTGTGTATGGAGTCTGCCTTCAACATATCACTTCTTAGTAGATTCCATTTGGTAACTACCCTGACACAAAAAAATTATTTCTAATATATCTGTGGCTCATTTAAGAACTAAGTTTCCTTCAGTGACCCCTTGTTCGTGTTCTGCCCATGCTAAATACTTTGACTTCAATTGAAAAAAGTGCTGGACCAACCAGGTTGCAGTGGATATGTGGGCCTGCACATTACCCCAAGCAACAACATGTTTGATAAAACTCTAATAAACCAAGTCTGGTACTGGACAGAGCTTAGGGAGTAGAACTCCCAGAAACTTATCTAGGTACAATCCAGGTACATATAGATACTCATCCAAATCAAACAATCAAATGCCCACCTACACGAGACCTTGCAAAGGAAGATAGAGAAGCTAAACAATGTCTAAATGGGAGTAGGAATGGAAAAGAAATATTTTTTCTACAAGGTGATAAGAATCAAAGCCTGTGAAATGTTACTTAAAAACCAACAAAATCATAAGTGAAAGGAGGAGTAAAGGACATAGAGGCAACATGTTCCTGAAAATTGTATTGTACAGTATATACTATTTATTTATTTATTTATATACAAGGTACATTGGGTTTGTGAGAATACATAGCATAGTACAGTATTTACAATCTTGTAAAGCCACTAGTACGCACAGCGTTTCGGGCAGGTCCTGAATCTAACAGATAATTTTAAGTAGGTAAATTCTATCAGAATTAATAAAATGATAAATACATTGCAAGAAAAAAAATGAGATGAGAGAGATTAGTAAGTATATTAAAGCACATTGGTATATTAAAGTTCTGATTGATTACATTGACAGCTTGATTGGTAATTTAAACAAGATTAATAGACACCATACAGCAGATTGACAGCACATATAAGACAGCAATGATCACAATGATAAAGATGTTCAGATTGGGTACATAAAGATTGGGAGATTGGGTAGCAATAGATACAGTACAATTTTAAAGCAAAAGGTAAAAAACTATGAAGATGAAATTAGGTACTTTTTAGTATTGTTTTTGAATGACGCAAAAGTTGGACAGCTTTTCAATTCAATAGGCAGCGAGTTCCATAAACTGGGTCCCTTTATTTGCATAGTGTGTTTACACAGATTAAGTTTGACTCTGGGGATATCAAAGAGAGATTTATTTCTGGTGTGGTGATAATGGGTCCTATGTCCAGGGAGAGTTTCAGAGCAGGATTTGCATTTAAGAACAGGGTTTTGTAAATGTAATTGACAAGAAAATTTGTGGAGTGAGATTATGTTTAGCATGTTTAGGGAGTTAAACAAGGGGACTGAGTGTTGTCTGAAAGCAGAATTTATTATTCTGATAGATTTTTGCTGGGTAATGATGGACTTGAGGTGGTTTGCAGTGGTTGAACCCCATGCACAGATACCATAATTAAGATAGGGATAGATTAGTGCATAATATAGAGAGATGAGAGCAGAGTTAGGTACATAATATCTGATTTTGGAGAGTATACCAACTGTTTTAGAGACTTTCTTAGTTATGTGTTGTATGTGGGTACTGAAGTTAAGTCTTTTGTCTAGGAATAGGCCAAGAAACTTTCCATCATTTTTATTGCTAATGTTTACATTATCTTTCTGAAGCTGAATTGCATTTGTAGATTCGCTTCCAAATAAGATGTAGTAGGTCTTTTCTATGTTAAGTGTTAGTTTGTTGGTTGACATCCATAACTGGACTTTTTTTTTAGTTCATTATTAACAACATTATTTAGTGTATGTGGGTTGGGGTTATAGTAGATGAGAGTAGTATCATCAGCAAACAAAATAGGTTTCAGAATGTTAGACACATTAGGCAGATCATTGATGTATATAAGAAATAGAAGAGGTCCCAAAATGCTGCCCTGTGGCACTCCAACGGTTATTGGTAGAGTGGGAGAGGTTATATTATTGATGACTACACATTGGTGTCTATCACTAAGATAGGATTGGATATAGTCCAGTGTATGGCCTCGGATTCCATAATGATGGAGTTTAAGTAAGAGGTAATTGTGATTAACAGTATCAAAGGCCTTTCTCAGGTCAATGAAGAGTCCAATCGGAAACTCATTTTTGTCAAGGGCTGAGTAAATTATATCAAGGAGACTAATAATTGCATAGTTGGTACTCTTATGGGCTAAGAATGTCGAATTTTACGAGGTAGAAGTAGATTTAGATTTAGGAAAGACTTGGGTAAATACTGGTTCAGTAACAGTGGTTGATTAGTGGAACCAATTACCACGTATGGGTCAATAGGCCTTCTGCAGTTACCTTTATTCTTATGTTCTCATTTAATGGAGTATTAAAAGTCTCAACACAAGACAGAACACGAAACAATGGGTATGAATTGGACAAGTTTAGATTTAGGAAAGACCTGGGTAAATACTGGTTCAGTAACAGGGTTGTTGATTAGTGGAACAAATTACCAGGTATGAGCCAATAGGCCTTTTGCAGTTACCTTTATTCTTATTTAATGGAGTATTAAAAGTATCAACACAAGACAGAACACGAAACAATGGGTATGAATTGGACAAGTTTAGATTTAAGAAAGACCTGGGTAAATACTGGTTCAGTAACAGAGTGATTGATTTGTGGAACCAATTACAAGGTATGAGCCAATAGGCCTTTTGCAGTTACCTTTATTCTAATGTTCTTATGTTAAGACAGCCAGCCTGGCTGCCAGACATGATGAGCCGCCGCTCAGCTAGAAGCCATTACAAGCCAACATTAACACCAGCTGCCTTACACAACACCTCCCACTGACAGTATACCCGCAGCTCCTCACTCTCCACACACTCCTCGACACCTTAATACACTTCTCTCCCAACGCCAGCACTTGACATCTCGTGTCCAGTGAAGCCAATACTGTGAGGGGGAGGCGAGAGGCGGCGACACAGTCCTCACGTCACGACACTTAGGAGTAAACTGTCGCAATTCTTTCCAGGAAGGTGAGTGTCTTGCCTTCACCCAACGCTGAGGTCTTCTTTTAAAATATATATAACAATCCCTTTTTTCAAATATATAGCAATATATTGGACTGTAGGGAAAGATATAGCATTTATATGATGTAGATTATAGTTGATGGAGAATTATTGTGGCTAAAAATCAGCATTATCTTTTTTCCTACTGCTAAATATGGGAAAAGGCCATAGTATTTGTGCTTTAATATATACTTGTAAAATATGTTTAGTTTGACAACAAACTTCTCATTTTATCTTTGTATCACATCATATTACCAAACTCATATTTAAAAATACTAATACCAACATTTCAAGCTAAATAAATAGCTTAGAAGGTGAAATTAAGTGAAATACTCAAGTCAGAGTCAAATTTTGTTAGAAAAGTTTTTGGAACCCTGGAGTTTCCGGCGTGACGTCACAGCAGTCCGGTGTTGTGCTCATGGCGGCGGAGGAAAGATGGTATTTTACCAAGGAAGAATTAAACAATTCACCCAGCAGGAGATGTGGAATCGACGCGGAAAAAGAATTATCGTATCGACAGCAAGGCGCAAATCTCATCCAGGATATGGGCCAGCGGTTACAAGTGTATCCTTTCGTACCAAAGTCTTGAGGTGTTTGTCGGCCTTGGCCAAGGTACTCCGTCATGTTAAGTAGAATATTGATTTAATCGCGGGTTTGGCTGGTGTATCTGGCATGCAGTGAGGACCACTAGAGTCTAAAGACAAGCTTGGCCGTAATTAAAGGTTACTGTGGCGTGCGTGGTGACTTAAAAAGAGGAATGTTGTTGTGGTTCATCTCGAGGATGTCAGGGGCATGGCAGCCATGTTGGTTCACATGACCTCTTAATCGTCAAGTATTTAGCCTTATTACGCTGCTATTAACACCTCTGAAGTGTCTGGAGCTACTTATCTTGCACGATAGCTGCTGTGGCTCACACGTTGGGTTGGAATTCGTGCTCAGAGGTCTGGTTGGTGAGAAATGGGATGGAACATGCGTGGCTCTCGTCCAAGCAACATGTTCAATATGCAGGATGGATGCGATTCGAGTGCAATATTTAATTATTGGCTACATAATAACGGTCTAACTGATGTTAACACATGTATGTCAAGTCAATCATGCTTGTATTAAACTTTGGCAGGAGTGGAATACTTATTCCTGTTTGAGTTTGATGTTACTATTTGCAACCTTGATTGCATGATATAATGTTAATTGAAATTGAAATAAGTTTATTGAGGTAAAATATACACAAAGGGATGAGGTAGCTCAAGCTATTCTCACCCCGTTCAGTACATCGTGTTAATACATACATAGACACACATCACAAGCAATAAACATATTACCAAACATTCTGAGAGAATGTTAATTGTATCTGTTTGTGAAGCTCAGAATTGTTTCCAGTAGATATATTGACTGCTAGGAACTATTTTTATTTGGTTAATTGGGTTCAGTATGTGTAAGCTAACATAACTTGAACAGTTTGTTGTGTAAACAAGAAATATGGATTGCAGAATTTGTATGGCTTTATCAGTGATGTTAATAATTCCCAGTCAGATATCTGGCACTAGGCCGGTCGGATCTGGCGTGGGGAGCTGGTCGGCCGAGCGGACAGCACGCGGGACTTGTGATCCTGTGGTCCTGGGTTCAATCCCAGGTGCCAGCGAGAAACAATGGGCAGTTTCTTTCACCCTATACCCCTGTTACCTAGCAGTAAAATAGTTACCTGGGTGTTAGTCAGCTGTCACGGGCTGCTTCCTGGTGGTGGAGGCCTGGTCGAGGACCGGGCCGCGGGGACACTAAAAGCCCCAAAATCATCTCAAGATAACTTCAAGAAGGCATTTGCCATTCCTAAGGAACACTTGCAAATGGATAACCTGCTTGTGAGCAGTTAATCCATAGTTAGTTCCTATGAAATTATATTTTTCTTTGAATGATATAATCGTATGGTTTTACTTTTTAATCTTGCTAAGAAAAGGCTTTAATAATCCTTTTGTCATATTCTCTTCAAAAGTATGTAAATATAGAAGAAAGGAATACTTTAAGAAGGACCAATTTGTGTAACCAATTACCACAATATTATAGAAGTAGGATCCCTTGATTGTTTCAAGCATAGGTTAGACACACACATATGAGATTGGGTGTATATTAATGGGAGCTGCCTCGTATGGACCAATAGGCCTTCTGCAGTTACCGTCATTCATATGTTCTTAATGCAGGGTATGGTCAAATCGTACATTAGTAGGTGTTCAGGTTCGTTCATATTTCCCTGTAAGAGGAGGACTCGGAGGATGGCATCTGTTCAAGCTGCTCAGGCTTTGGCTCTGTTACCTCACAAGAGGTAACTCCCCCATAAGAAAAATCCCAACCCAGAAGGGAAATACTAAGGATAGTCAATGAAATTGCTTGAGTAATTATGTCATATCATGCTCACACACACAGGGTGATGCACATGATCAATGTGGATGCAGATCTTTGGCTACAGGAATGTTCACAAATTAACTTATTTTTACAGTTGCAGTTCATGTAGGAGCTCGGCACACAACTGAAAATGTGGGAGACCTACAGGTCGTCTGATAATCCACACTAAATGTTTGTAATGTTGACATTTTCCCACGCAAGAATATGGCATTAAGGTCCTAACCTGGATACCACAGAATTTGACTTATTTTTATACTATTTTCTTTTTCATTATACAATAGTACAATAAGATAATTACCTGTTCTTTCCAGTGGTATAATTAAACAGAAATGTTTTTGAGTTCATTTATTTGTTGACTTTGCTGTTCTCATAACTCAACACCAAACCATAAGTATTCCCTAGAAATAAAATGTTGATATGTAATATAATTTTTGTCCCTGGGCAGTAAGTGTTATTTTCTAATTGCTTTGCCTCCAAATTACAGTACATATATAAAATATTTACCTGTATTTTCCCCTCAAATTTTACTTATACCTTTACCCTAGACAGCTCAAGAAATATGTTTTGGAGGTTACAGAGCTTCTGTAACTGGAAGGCTGCTGACTCCTTATCTGGAGCTGTGACAAGTTGTCACAGATAAGAAGTTGCCAATCTTCAAGACATCTTCCCTTAGCCGTCTAAGGCACAAGTAAAAAAGAAGCAAAGTTTGAGAGAGAATAATAATAGAATAATAAAAGGGCTGGTTCCTTTCTCCCCAATGCTTGGAGACATTGTGGTGGTGGGCTCTGGCCCTCCTTTATCTTTGGGATTGAGTGGAGCCATGTGTGGCGCCTGGATTTGGGAGACTATAGGTGGGTAGCTCAAAGATATTGAGGGAACCCGCTAGAGAGAGATGATTCATATTGTTGAGTGCTAGGTTTTACACTAGAAAAATTGCTCCAAATACATTGAATACCATCATACATAGATGAAAGGAGCTTACCTGGAACCACAAGCCAGAACCTGGCCCCCTCAGAGGCACAAGGAGCAATGGCCTACAGAAACCCCCGTGTGGTTGGAACATTTTATGTCTGCCATGTACTGTGTTATGCACCCAGAAAGGTAGGCGTCTCAAAACAGACTCCAACTGGTGAAAATTGCTACCAAAAACCGAACTATCAAGCACATGGGGGTTTCTATAGGCCATTACTCCTCGTGTCTCTGAGGGGACCAGGTTCTGGCTCAAGGTCCCTGGTAGGCTAGAACTCTAATCGAATTGACTGATGCCACGGTCTAATATATGCATATCAGCCCGGTATAGCTCCGAGGAGCTGGAGGGGAATCTCCACAGAAAATGGCATTTTAAAACATTCACTGCTGGTTTTTTCCTTATTAATTTGTTTTTTCCGGTTTATTTTGAATAAGAAAATGATTATGAATATTAATTAGGGGCAAGCCATTGTGCCCTAAACCTTGGTTCATTTTATTGTATTATTAACCTTTGTCTTGTGTTTGCTGGTATGCATGTTGTGTGTAAGTTTTTATATATATGTTAGTTTTAAAATACAGTTTAATTCAGTATATTCCTTAACCATACATCAGTAACCAACTAGCAATCAATACCGCCATCGTATATATGCATCGTTTCTACATGTTTCATCCCTTCACTCGTTTTCATCGTAATTCTATAGCACCCGCTGCCCTCTTTCTGGCTGCCAAAGTGGAAGAGCAGCCAAGAAAGTTGGAGCATGTAATTAAAGTCGCCTACCATTGCCTATTTCGTGACCAACCTGCCTTGGACACTCAGTCGGAGGTCAGTATGTTTAATTTAATGTCTTTTAAGTCTGAAATATCATGTTCTAAATCTTATTATTTTAACACATAAAGATCCATTTAGTAGCAATATGAATTCTTGTCTAATTTTTATTTAGATATTATTCAACATCTTCAGGGCTATTTGGAACGTGCACAGGAATTGGTTGTAAATGAAAATATCTTACTCCAAACTCTGGGATTTGATGTTGCCATAGACCATCCTCATACGCACGTGGTCAAGTGTTGCCAGCTCGTCCGCGGTGAGTACACATAACCAATCTAAAGAGTATTTTCGGAAACGGAAGGATCTCCACCACCCGTTGTCACTGCAAAGACTGTAAACTTATTTTAGAAATGTATATTTTCCTCTCATTGTTCATTATTGTCCATTGAGTTTGGTTTTGAAATGTTAGCTATATTGATTTTGAATACAAATAACTGATGTACATTTGAAGTCTGTCACCATGACCTCATTATTTGTATAAGAATTATTTCATATGGTTGAACCTCAATGATTATAACTTAGTCATTCCTTGGTATAACTGCCTCCTCAGGTTTAAACAAAAAAGTGGCTTGAAACTAAGCGAGATCAGTTGTAAAGGCTTCTTCAAAAGATGATAATAGGTTCATTTGGGTAGGACTTTTGACCAACTTGTAACATAAATACAACCTGTTCTCGCAAAATTCGTAAAGTAAATATTGACTTATTAACTACGTGCATAGGTGATATACTAAACATAATAGATACCCTTAAAAAGATTCATAGAAAACACCGACCTTACCTAACCTTGTTAGTATCTTAAGATAAGCATCTTATTGCTTCGTAATTACAATTATTACTTAACCTATACCTATTATAGGTTAGGTAATAATTGTAATTACGAAGCAATAAGATGCTTATCTTAAGATACTAACAAGGTTAGGTAAGGTCGGTGTTTTCTATGAATCTTTTTAAGGGTATCTATTATGTTTAGTATATCACCTATGCACGTAGTTAATAAGTCAATATTGACTTTACGAATTTGCGAGAACGGGTTGCATAAATACCATATGGAGAAAGAGCATGCATCTGGTGTCGGGGTACTGGCAGGCATCCCCCTAATCACTTAATTTTATACCTGGCTTCATTTCTCATTAAATAACCCCAAGTAATGAATTCTCTAAGTGATCAATTTATGTACACTGCAGTAAATAATATTTATTATTCACCCAACAAATTTGATGCTTAATGTTGCTATGTGTTTTATTTATTTTATTCAGGTTATAGCAGTATTTATCTTTTGTTAAAAAACTTTGAATCACATTTTATATTTTAACCTGTCATTCAAATGCTTTGTTTGCAAGGGGTACTGCATGTGTAATTTTCATGTGATGTGGTAATTATGGTTCTTACCAAAATGCTAAACTTAATTCACAACACTATGTTAACGTATATATTTATTTAAACTCGTAGTCCCTCTCATGCCCTCCCCAGTAGCATGACCATTATTAGTGAGTTTGTACTTTTGTCCACTTTAATATTTGGGTTCCTGCAGTGCACTTTCCTCTATTGAGTACCCCTTTGGCTGCACTCACTTGGTAATGCCACTTTGTGGTCTCCTACGTTTTCTTCACTTCCACATACATATAATTGTACGCTATTAACTCGTTCTTTGTCTACTCTTTTTCCATTACCTTCTCCGGGATTATTCTAGGATGTCCATTGGATACGTCATGGATAATTATTGGTGTGCCCAGTATTTTTATTTAGCTAATTACCGTATACAGCATCTTGGAAGTGTTAAAATAATTAATAATTCCAAGCTCTTTACTATTTTTTTAGAAATAATTTTCAAGGCAATCAAAAATTATATTTGTATAAATGTACAAATTAAACTATGGGTTGATAAAATTTTAAGTCGCTAAAACCACTGGTCGTTAAGCAAAACTACTTGACGTAAAGCACATTTGCAACCACCTTTTACTCGCATAATATATTGAGCCCAGGAGCTTAGTACTTAGTACACAAGTACTAGGTAATTACATAGGTTATACAGGTACTTCTATAATTACAAGCGCACACGCGTGCACACATTCATTCAGTCATTCACTTTAGGAAATTCCATTTAGATAGAGTATGACATCATAGGCAGAATACTTCATATCGTGATGGTTGTGGCCATCACTGGTGGCTATCTTCTTGAGTTATCTTGAGATGATTTTGAGGCTTAGCGTAATTACTTAGACTTAGCGGCTAGTTTAATGCTGTATTGTGCTCCCGATACTCTTCCTGTGAGCAATAGCGCCAAAAATTTTTTGAGCATAAACGTTCTTAGCCACTGCACTGCGCCGTATTAAAATAGGACAACACTGTGGTGTGCCGGAAAAAATTATTTAAAAAATGTATATATTTTCTTGCATTGTTAAAATGCGTTCTCTGATCACAGGAAATTTGAAAAAAAAGTATTGTATGTGACATACTGTAGTAATGATGGAGCAGAGAAGTTGAGCAATTTATGAGCACTGGGTGATTAGGTACAATACTCAGAGACACTTAGCCCCAGTGACCCCCGTGTGGCGGTAGTTGCCACGAATATTATATCTAGTTCGATAGTGTGTAATTTGTGGAATTTATAGTTAAAAAATGTGGAAGATTGCTTTAGCACCTTTAGGCACTATGCACATAGGGTCTTTAGGTATTATATGCACCAGTTGAGCGCCTTTAGGCATTATATGCACAGGTCGCGTGCCTTTAGGCACTTACTATATGCACCAGTCGAGCGCCTTTAGGCACTATATGCACCCGTCGAGCGTCTTCAGGCATTATGCGCAGTGCAGTGGTTAATCAGACCTTAGTTGATGTTATTGGACATTGAAACAGTTTTCATATACATTTCACATATATTTAATCATAATGTTCTTGCTATGCTTATCACCATTTGGTAAAATATTGTAAATTGTGATGAGATAATACTAAAATTTTGAACAATTCGGATACCGATGCTAATTTCACCAAAAAAAAAGTCTTCTGATGTGATTATTGATTCCAGTTCTTTAAAAAATTATATAGTTGGATACTTATTTTTCTTAAAATGTTGTATTTTACTTTTGAAAAGTTATTTATATTTTGAGCATGGAAAATTATTATTTATAATTGATTTAAGAATAGAAAACAATTTGGTAAATTCAGCTTAATCTTATGACATAAACCGGAGAAGTGAGAACATCTCATTATCATGTGGATATCTATTTGAAATAAAGTTAATATTGCAGCACTAGGGCAATTAAAGCATGGATTTATATACTTTTTATTGAAAAAGTAATCCTTAATCTTCAAAGTACACAATAAGAATCACTGGAAACATTCCACTACCCATCACAAGTGCATATCTTATACAGGTATACAGTTTCCAATACAATAAAAAAAATTATTTTATTTAACTATAAAGAATTACCGTGCAAGTAATTCAAGTAAAACAAAATTCATTTTTAACTTGTACTGAAAAAGCCATGTTTAACCTATATAATGCATACACTGTACAGTACAAGTGAATAAGAAAAAATTATACATATATGAACCCTAAGACTTAAATTGTAATGTACAAAGTTAGCATCTCCTGTTTCTTTTTGGTGAATATATTTGTTATTAAATGTTAAAGAATCCTTTTAAGAATCGGAATAGTGATAAAATCAATTCGCGATAACGATTCAGATTAGTTCCGTCACCAATTGTAGTATAAACGATTTTTCCTGGTGAGGATTAGTTTCTTCAAACTAAAAATATAACAAGACAGGTTTTACCAGTGTACTCTACTTCCTTAGCCATCCTTGAGGTTATCTTGAGATCCTCTTTTTATAAAAATCATCGGTAAAATGATTTAAATTTGAGTGAGTCATATGCTGTACAGTATTTATTTCCATAAAAGTTCATTCATATACAAATCACTATACAGTACTGACATGGGTAGATTCCACAGTGAATTTTCACTTAAAAATAATTATTCTAAATTAACTATATATGTGGGTTAAGCAATTACTTCATTGCCATAACTGCTAGAATACTACAGTGGTAGTTATATATGTATTATGTTTTATAGTGCTTCCCTGATCACAAACAGATGATAACATTAAATTCTTTGATGTAAAGCAGCAGTGTAAGATGACCTGGTACTTGAATATTAAAATATTCGGTGTAATGTTCATTAAATGACAGGTGTCCAGTCATATACAGGTTTCAATGGGTGGGAAAACGCACCAGCTGGTGACAGGCTCTCATCAGAGACTGAAACAAACTCGGTTTTAAAATATTATATTAGTGTGTGTGTATGCGCCACGTACAGAAATAAGTAAATAATGAATGTACAGTAATGTACATTTTTCTTGGTAATGGTGTGTTTAAATTGTATAATACATTTGGTTGTATAGTGACACTCTAAATTGATTGTCCCAGTGTGAGATGTACTAGATAAAGTTATGTATTCACCAAAAGAGAAACACAGGTGCCAGTGATACAATGGCACAACCTCGAATTATCCCTTTTGAAAGATGTACACATTCTTGCTTCTCATTGGAATCACTTGACTGCTAGTCAACAAGCAGGTAGAATTCTTTGACACTTTTATGCTCATTGGCTTTATGGTATTTTTTCCTTCCCTCACTTTTATTATATTTTAGCACAATATATAAGATGTCTTAAGAAGGTTCAGCCAGCACTTATTTACTTGTTCAGCACTTTGTTAAGAGTTTTGTTAAGGAAGTAGTATTACATATGATTAAGAAGTTCTACCGTAATAATCTTGTGATGAAAGAAAGATACCTGGATCCATTTCTGTTTTGAAACGTGAAGTTTCTTGGCAGCATTGGAGGGAGGTGACATATCTTTAGCTATAATGGTATTTCATGCACAGTCCTCGTGTTGAGAGGCTCCATGTTGCTATGTAGAGTTATGGTTATAATTGGGAGTCTGTACAGTTGTTGGACCATTTTGCAAGATTAATTAACACTAATAATGTGTTAATTGTCTTTATAATATGGTTATTCATCCCTCAGCTCAGCACTAATATCATTAATTTGACAGTCTTAAGATTGCTGTCTTACAATATACTGTAGTAAGCTTTTTGTATAATTTTATAATTTCATTTCTTTCTGCTGTGTCTTATTTTGTAGTGGTGGCTAATGAAATGCAAACAGTTTTTTGCTGTTCTAAATATAGTTTTTAATTTGTGTTGTATAACTGTTGCTTAAAGTGGAGTATAGTATCTCTTAGTTTTCACTTGGTACAGTTGTTATCCTCTTAACTATGTAGAATCACTTGCAACATGTTTTAAGTTTATGTGGCGATATATGTTCACTACTATAATTATTCAATCTTGAGTGATTATTTGTTTTAATTACAAAAGACAAACAATGTGTAACTGCATAGCCACTAAATATTGAGTACAATCCTAAACCTTACTCACTGGATATCTAAAATAATGAGCTAAAAGTTTACAGTATTTGGTTGAGAACAACTCACGAGTGTCCGAAAGTGGTGTAGTTTTTGTTATAGTCGAAGCTTTTTCTTGAATTTTAAGGCGGTCACTGTGTGTACTGGACTTACAAAATGTAATGGCTAGGCTCCAGTATCATTTTAATATTGGATATATTAGGTTATCTCTGCCCATTCTCAAAATTGACCAGTTTTGTAACGTGAGATAGGTTTTGCAGATGACAAAAAAATATGTAACATGCTCTTATCAGTCTTAGTGATCAGCCTTTACCCTTTTTTTAATATACCTTATATGTAAATGATTTACATGTATTTATATCATCATGTGGAATGCAGGCGATGAGTCACAATAACGTGGCTGAAGTATGATGACCAGACCACACATTAGAAATTGAAGAGACGACGACGTTTCGGTCCGTCCTGGACCATTCTCAAGTCGATTGTGTCATTCTCAAGTCACAATCGACTTGAGAATGGTCCAGGACGGACCGAAACGTCGTCGTCTCTTCAATTTCTAGTGTGTGGTCTGGTCATCATCATGTGGAATATTGGCCAAACATCAGGTCACTTGGGGTTACAATGTTGGTTGTAGCTGTGGATTTTCTTATGTATTACTGGTTATTCTGGAATGTTTCTTTTTCCTTTCATGTTCATATCATTGAAATGTTAAGCTTTAAATCCAGTGTGGCTTCAAGGATGGGTTGCATTTTAAAGTGAATTTAGTAAGATATTATGTAGTTTTAGATAAATATGTTTTAAATCATTTGATTAGATTTAATAATTGTGTGCAATGAATGGATGAACCTTAATTATGCATTTGCATCAAGTTTTATAATAATCTTTGATTTTCACGCTGTCATTATGACATTTTAAACATGAGCGCTTTTCTTAAATCAGATCTTGTAATTTATCGTAAACTGTTGCAATTAAGATTCATCCTAAGGTCAAGTAAGTACAGTATATTTATGGTGCTAAAGTTTGTTAGTTATTAATATAACTAACTAAACATTGTTAAATAATAGAGGTAATTATGATACCAATATATTGTCAGTGTTGCTATGTGCCATGATGAGATGTGAGGTGGGTAACATTTGTAAGTATGCATATTTAGATAAGTACGTTTAATGCTGATATTTAATCGTTGGCTGTATAACGCACTCGGTAAGTAAGGAGTGAAGATCCTGGTCAGGTGTTGTAAGGCAAAAAAACACACGAGGTAATGCAACATTGTTCTAAAAATGTTTGTCTTTTCTTTTCCCGGTGGTTGGCTGCCCTGGTGGGGCGGTCGGCTGCGGGTCACCCACTACCTGTGCTGTGGTGCTACTGTCCTGGCGTGCGCCCCAACAACAGCCACCAAAGATTTGGCCCAAACCTCGTATTTCATGGCTACTAGCAGGTTATTATCACTGGCTGACTGTTTGTCACTACTGCCAGTAACAAGTTTCAGTGGGCCCCTCCTAAATTTAATAACTGTCCAATAACAAGATGGCGGACCACCAAATGTGCTGCGCTATGGTCTACTGCTGTTACTTGTAATGGTAGCTCTGTTATTGGTGATTGTAGCTGTTACTGGTGATGGTAGCTCTGTTATTGGTGATTGTAGCTGTTACTGGTGATGGTAGCTCTGTTATTGGTGATTGTAGCTGTTACTGGTGATGGTAGCCCTGTTACTGGTGATAGTACCTCTGTTACTGGTGATTGTAGCTGTTACTGGTGAGGTAGCTCTGTTACTGGTGATGGTAGCTCCGTTATTGGTGATTGTAGCTCTTACTGGTGATGGTAGCTCCGTTATTGGTGATTGTAGCTCTTACTGGTGATGGTAGCTGTTGCTGGTAGCCCTATTACTGGTGATAATAGCTCTGTTACTGGTGATGGTAGCCCCAGTTACTGGTGATAGCTCTGTTACTAGTGATGGTAGCTGTTGCTGGTAGCCCTATTACTGGTGATAGTAGCCACAGTTACTGGCAATAGTAGCTCTGTTACTGGCGATGGTAGCTGTGTTACTGGTAATAATAGCTGTTACTGGTGATGGTAGCTGTGTTACTGGTAATAATAGCTGTTACTGGTAATAATAGGTTACTGGTGATGGTACTGTGTAACTGGTAATAATAGCTGTTACTGGTGATGGTAGCTGTGTTACTGGTAATAATAGCTCTGTTACTGGTGATGGTGACTGTTACTTGTAACAATAGCTCTGTTACTGGTGATGGTAGCTCTGTTACTGGTGATGGTAGCTGTGTTACTGGTAATAATAGCTGTTACTGGTGATGGTAGCTGTGTTACTGGTAATAATAGTTCTGTTACTGGTGATGGTGACTGTTACTTGTAACAATAGCTCTGTTACTGGTGATGGTAGCTCTGTTACTGGTAATAATAGCTCTGTTACTGGTGATGGTAGCTCTGTTACTTGTAACAATAGCTCTGTTACTGGTGATAGTGACTGTTACTTGTAACAATAGCTCTGTTACTGGTGATGGTGACTGTTACTTGTAACAATAGTTCTGTTACTGGTGATGGTGACTGTTACTTGTAACAATAGTTCTGTTACTGGTGATGGTAGCTCTGTTACTGGTAATAATAGCTCTGTTACTGGTGATGGCAGCTCTGTTACTGGTAATAATAGCTCTGTTACTGGTGATGGTAGCTGTGTTACTGGTAATAATAGCTCTGTTACTGGTGATGGCAGCTCCGTTACTGGTAATAATAGCTCTGTTACTGGTGATGGCAGCTCCGTTACTGATAATAATAGCTCTGTTACTGGTGATGGTAGCTCCGTTACTGGTAATAATAGCTCCGTTACTGGTAATAATAGCTCTGTTACTGGTGATTGTAACTGTTACTGGTAATAATAGCTCTGTTACTGGTGATGGTAGCTCCGTTACTGGTAATAATAGCTCTGTTACTGGTGATGGTAGCTCTGTTACTGGTAATAATAGTTCTGTTACTGGTAATAATAGCTCTGTTACTGGTGATGGCAGCTCTGTTACTGGTAATAATAGTTCTGTTACTGGTAATAATAGCTCTGTTACTGGTGATGGCAGCTCCGTTACTGGTAATAATAGCTCTGTTACTGGTGATGGTGACTGTTACTTGTAACAATAGTTCTGTTACTGGTAATGGTAACTGTTGCTTCAGGATAGTAGTTCTCTTACCTATTAATTAATAGACTACCATGCATACCTAATTTTGATAAGCTGTACACACATCCTGTTTAATTTTGTTTTTATTTTTGGCCATTTTCTGTTATTCATGTTAATGTGCACACAATAACCTTAAGTTTTAGTTGTAAACTCTTAACACATTGACACTTTAGTGATTCAAAAAGGTGAGATAGAAATATGTATTATTTGAATATTGTTTTTATTACTATATTTATATATATATATATATATATATATATATATAGAATACATTTGACTGGGTAAGCCCATTTTACCTTGTTTTATTGGGAATAGAGAAGGGCTAAGGAATTTCTTGGCTAAAGGCATAACATGGACTGACTTGGTAATTTGTAATTCTATTATTATTACGCATTCATTTAGCCCTTTCGCTGATAATTACGTAAGTGTAGTTACAAGATGATTGCTACACTCGTGATATTCTGTCGTCCCGGGACTCTGTCATATGATGCTTTGAAATTTACTGGCGGTTTTGGCGTCCACCGCCTCCTCACTTAACTTGTTCGAACCATGGACCGCTCTGTTTACAAAAGAGATCTTTTTAGTATTTTTCAGCACCTTCGTTTCCTTTATTTGAATTCGTGTGTCCATTGATCTGCATTCCAGTGATTTATCCCAGTAGGATAGTACCGGGTCCCAGTAGTACAGTCGGGTTCATTCTCGACTCGGAATCAAGAATTTCAGGTTCGGGCGGGACAGAAATGGTTGGGCACATTTCCTTTCACCTAATGCACCTGATCACCTAGCAGTAAGTAGGTAATCAGGAGCCAGCCAGCTTGCTGTGGGGTTGTATCCTGGGCGGGATCAGTAATTTGACCTGGGGGTGGGGGGGGACGCTTGAAATAAGCCTAATGTGTATGAATACACTCTGGCTCCCTGTCCCCCAACATAATGAATTATTCATAATTATGATCACTGGCAACTTTTGTATATCGTCAACTAATTGTTTCTGCTATAAATAAAATTTGGACTTGTAAGAGCTCGGTAATACGAATAAATTTATGTTCGTCGTTTTTGAGCAAACGGCATAAGTAAGCAGATATGCCATGGAATGAGCGGGTAAATGGCTGTAATAACCAGTTAAAGTGCTAAAATGAAGCAGGTAAACAGTGAAAAGGTGAGAGTAAATAGTGGGAATAGCCAGGTTGTGACCGGAAAAAAATATAAATGTTAATTTTTTAGATATTCCTGGTAAGAAATTTGAATGTTCGGATTATTGAACTTCGACAGCATTTCAGTTCACCCTACAAATTCATAATTTATTTGGAAAGCATGTAATTTATATAAAAAAATGCTCTGATATCTAAGAAGTTTGCCAGTAGGTTTCTGATTTGTGAGAATTGCACAATTTCAATTCAAATGTATACAGTGAGTTATCATTCATGTGACAGGTATTTAGTTTTAAATGTCTAGGAATAGAGTACAGTATGGTTATTATTTCAGTTCTGCAAATCTTAAAGTATTATGCTTTTGGCTGGAGTCGAATTGTTTCCATCTCATAATGGAAACTAAGATTTTTTTGCCTCTTATTTCCATTTCAAATAGATGCACCATTAAAATTGTACCCTTTTTACCACAAAAAGGCCATGGAATACATAAGCATTGCCTGTGATGGTCACACACCCACGGGTGCCGGTCGGCCGAGCGGACAGCACGCTGGACTTGTGATCCTGTGGTCCTGGGTTCGATCCCAGGCGCCGGCGAGAAACGATGGGCAGAGTTTCTTTCACCCTATGCCCCTGTTACCTAGCAGTAAAATAGGTACCTGGGTGTTAGTCAGCTGTCACGGGCTGCTTCCTGGGGGTGGAGGCCTGGTCGAGGACCGGGCCGCAGGGACACTAAAAGCCCCGAAATCATCTCAAGATGACTGCTTTAGAGGAAAAATTATTATAAATACAGTACAGTACTGTATTTCTAGAAATTTAGTTACAATGATAGGAATATAGATACAGTATTGCAATTTATTTGCTTGTATTTGTTGGCCATTCTGGTACAGTATAAATTTCTCACTTGCAAATAAGAGTTAACAATCTGGAGAATTTTAAGAAAAAATATACTGTACTGTACAACAAAATTCGTATACAATTACGTATCGAGAATTAAAAATGTTCTTTAATTCTGATTATGGTCTTGATGGAGAGTTGCACCTTAATTGTACCTTTTTCTTTTTTATAGGATTCATGGAAAATATAAAATATTTATAGATGAATGAACAAAAGTATCAAAAGTGACCTCAAATTTATTTTCCACTAAGTGTTTTTGGGTACAACGGTGCCACATGCTCCAAAGGTGCCACATGCTCCAAAGAGAGTTCTTTTGATTAATGGTTTTATGTATAATAACAAGGTTATAATTTGATCAGGTAATAATAGCCAGAAAGATGTCAACTCTTGGTAAATATAGGGATTGATAAGCTAAACCCAATATCCTTAAATATCTATAATAAAAAATTATAAGAAAGCCGCGTGTAGCGTAGGCGATTAGTTATTACTGTACATTCTTTGAACAATAAAACATAGTTTGTTCTGTTATTACACTATATACTCTCACGATATATACCTATCTACATTTTTATGCACCATAACTAACGACAAGACACACTTTATGGGTGTGGTAATGAAATCTGCACACAGCATTGAGCCACATGCTACAAGCCGATGATATCAGCTGATGCATCAAAATGCCTCCGGTACACTACGCACAACGCCATGTCTAGCTACAACAGTGTTTTTACCATCAGATACCTGTCATTAAATCATGAATACAAATCATTTTCCTCAACTTGATTTTCTAAAGGAACATGAGGTCCCATTGGATGATACATAGATTCCTGAAACCATGGCTGTGTGCTGCGAATGTGTGGTTCCTGCTGTAAACATCATGGCCTGTGTTCACTGATATCTTAATCTTGTACAGGGTTTTTATCACAGAATCTTCTATGATACTATTGTCGCAAAATAATTGCAGTTACGTATTTTATTTCATTGTTATCAAGTGATACTGTGAGCATAAGTTATACAGTGATGCTGTGACTGCTGCGGCATGTGCTACTAGTGGTCACCCTCACAATACTGGCACACTCACCCAGGAGGGGTGCCTACAATTTTTCTTTTTATGGCATTTGTTTACTGGAAACCTGAGGAAGTGGATGAGAGCCCCGTGTACCGATGGAAGTTTTAAATCTAAAGCTAGACCTGATTGCCAAGTGCAGTTGAAG